AAATCACAAACATACAAGAATCCATCTTTATCAAATGCTAATCCACTAGGACAAATAAACTGATCAATATTACTGCCTTTACTTCCAAAGCTACTAACAAACACACCATCACTAGTGAAGACTGATATACGATTATTACCCCAATCACTAACATACACTAGACCAGTAACTCCAGTGTCTATTGTCATCCCTATAGGCTCAATAATCTGTCCAGGACCAGATCCTTTAGTACCAAACTGACCCACAAAATTTCCATCTGGAGAGAACTTCAGAATGCGATGATTAAAAGTATCAGCAACATATGCTAATCCTTGACTGTCAATAGCAATGTCATGAGACATAAACAGTTCACTAGCTGATCCTTTATTATCAATTGAATGAGAAAAGGTTAGATCAGGATTCAAGACTTGTATACGATAATTAAATTTATCAGCAACATAAACCTGTCCTGTTATAGGAGAAATGGCTATGCCAAAAGGAACGTTGAATTGTAGTGGTCCACTGCCCTCCTTACCAACTGATGCTATAAGGTATCCATCCATGCTTATCTTCTGGATCCTGTGATTATCAGACACAAAAATGAATTTGTCTGGAGTAATGGCTACACCACGAGGGGAAGAAAACATGACATTACCACTTCCTCCTTCCCCTCCTAATGATTTAACTTTCTTTCCTTCTCTATCTAGTATTGTTACACAGTGACCATTGCACTCAGTTACTATAACATGATTATCATCACTTACAGCAATTCCATAGGGAACCTTAAGCTCAGCTACAGTATGTACTGGAGTGATGTTATCAAGGTAAGGATTGAAAGGGATGACTAGTGAGGTATCCTCAAGGTGTACATCATATACTTGTACTTTTACTGTATGAGTACCATGTGTTGAAGGGTTACACTGTATCCTATACACTCCAGGATCAGTGCTGGTGGTAGTGACTGTAGTGGGAATGGGTTGATCACCTTTACCAACTGGTACTAGACTACACCTCAGAGAAGAGAGGGGAACACACAAAACAGATGAATCTGGTGCCTCCATTGATTGTGAAAATGAAACTGCTTTGCCAGCAAGCATAATATGATCAATCTTCTTCACTCTACACTGCTGTAGTGCAGTAGATGAGTAGGTCACAATATCTCCAATGTGATGTAGCAATTTGATATCTTTACTCAATACAAAGTCGGCCTTTTCCTTTGGATGTAACTCCTCCACATTGATCCCTGCAGTAACTTCACTCATACGCTCCATCATCTGTTTCTTAGACCTCAGTACTTGTTGAGGACTGCCTGTCTTCAGACTCTGTTCCACATAATCCTCAACATCCTCCAGAAAGCTCAAACTCTTTTCTGCTGATTTCATTTGCTCTGAAAGCACTTTTAGCTTAGCATCAGTGACCCTCTTTGCCTGCTCAGTCAGTTTCCCCTCTGACTGACGAA